AATTCTTTTTATGTTCGACTCAGTTTTATAAATTTCTCAAACTCTTCATTTTCTGGGATGGTTCCCACGGCTACCTTCCCTGAGCCACCGTATTTCCCAATTGATCCTGTTATGTCAGATCATCATGCAAGTGGGAAGTAGAGAGGGAGGACTCCACATATTATGTGAAGGAAGGAAGAAAACAATGAGTCAACTAGAGATAGTCGTGATGAGTGTCTACCGTATTTAAGGGAACAGTCTATGCTGTGGAGGAGCTGTAGAGGCGTAATACTGCGCCATCTAGTGGCTAGTTCTTTCTAGTCAATAGTTAGCATTGCTAGTCTTGATTTTCCTTTTATTTTAGTATACTACAACCAGTAACTGCCTCCTCCTCTTTCACCATCCCATTCCTGGTGTCTGTCAGGACAGAGGAATGGGCTCAGTGTCAATGCAGTTCTTGAGGAGAAACTGATTCCTTAGAAGCGGAGTTAGGCACAGAAGTTTTTTGGTGGAAGACTCTGAGAAGATTGGGGGTAAAGAATTAAGGAAGCAGGAGTGGGCAGAGGGCAAAGCTAATGCATAGTATGGTTGCAACAGAAGCCTCAGCTGACCCGGGCATTCTGGAACTGAGATGGTAGCTCAGTGTTGTTCCAAGATGAAGGGATGAGATCAGAGCATCTTATTTATATCAGCTCATCACTGGCTTCAGCAGTTTGGCTCAGGGCAGTGTGTAGCAAAAGATGCTGTTGTCCCTCTAACACTAGCTTTCTTCCCCCTTCCTTCCCTTTTGACTTGCTTCTAACTCGCTTAGCCGCAGGGCTCACTCTCTGTCACGGGTTAACCATTGCTACAGATGGGTTCTCTGGTTTCATCAGGCAGATCATGTTCGGAATTCTCGGTAGCACTTGAAAGAAGAATCTTTTCAATAGAGGGCTGGCTCTGAAAGCCTTGCTTTGTCTATGTCTCCTGTGCCTACCCTGCTATGTTAATATGACCACCCCAGTGAGAACAGAGACCAGACTCGATGGTGCCGTCGGGGGGAAGATCAAAAGTCACGCAGCCACATTCACAAGACAGACGTGGTTATTTATGCGCCTAAAGTTTCCATACTTGCCCTCCTGAGAAGATCCAATGAAGGTAGCAGCATTTCTTTCTAGCAGTGTTATAAGTATTTTGATCTTGACCAGTTATATCAGGAGAGAGAAGGGTGGACTCAACACTACTAGCTGTCCACCAGGCTATGACATAGACATTGGCTGAGATGTGAGAAGCCAGATAGACCTTGTGTGCCAGCTTCCCTTGCAGCCTGCTGTGGGCTAAGCCCTTATGAATGGACCTGAGCAAACGAAATATATGTAGCTTTTGCCAAGTGTGCTTTACAAGTAAACCTCTGGTCCTAGACTTCTATCTTCAGTTTCTCCTTACTAAGAAATGAGATTCCTTTTTTCTTTTCTTAAATTTTCTTTTTTTCTTTTTCTTTTTGGTTTTTCAAGACAGGGTTTCTCTGTAGCTTTGGAGCCTGTCCTGGAACTAGCTCTCATAGACCAGGCTAGCCTCGAACTCACAGAGATCTGCCTGCTTCTGCTTCCCGAGTGCTGGAATTAAAGGCGTGTGCCACCACTGCCTGGCAGCTGTGGCTGCCGGCCTTCTCCACAGAATTGTCATTTGTAACACGACTAATAAAAGCCCAGATACAGATATTGGGGTTCAACCTGAAGGTCAGAAAAGCAAAACAGTCAGCCACTGTCTCTTACCTCTATCTCAGTCCAAAATGGTGATCTGCCTCCAGGAATTCTCGAAATGAGATTGTTAGTGCCATAGAAACTGGGCGGTAGTGGTGCACACCTTGAATTCCAGCATTAGAGAGAAATATACGACAGGAGGAGACAGCTCTCACTCACAGTCTCATTCTGAGGCAGAATCACCATTTCAGACTCAGGTAGAGGTAAGAGCCAGTTACCAGCTGTTTTGCTTTTTCTGACCTTCATGTTGAACCCCAATTTCTGTCTCTGGATTTTTATTAATTGTGATTCAGTCCTTCATCAACCAGAACCCCTTTGCCTCCTCTTCTAGTCTTTCCCATCTGAGCAGGGTTACTCACAATGATGGACTCACTAGTTTAGGGGTACAAAATGTTTCCTCACCTTAAAGGAATTGAGTTCTCCCATATAGTGTATGTCCTAGCCACATATGAGGGCTCCGTGTGTATCAGACCAAGGCTAGACACAACCTAGCACACACCTTGTTAGACTCTTTTCCTTTCCCTGTCTGCTTTGTTCTGTCCCTTGTACATTATTCCTGCCAAGCATTCCTCACCACTAAACAATTGTCTTGGGTGCTCTTTCTTGTAAATTCAGCATCACTGGTGTCAAACCGTTACTCTTATTTTTCCAAATTACATTCTCATTTAGTTCCAGGGAATTTCAGCTCTGTCCTGTGCACACCACAGGCATAACAGACTGGTTTGTTCTGAAGTCACTATGTGTCAAAATTAAGTGAACTTTTCTGAAATGATTATAGGAAATACCTGCTACGTTATATTACTGTGACAATGTTAAAGGTGAATACATTTATAAGGCAGTGCCTTATGTATAACAAATGCCCTGAGGCATTGTTTTACTCACTTATGTGTGACAATCACGCCTACGCGATGTTTACTGTAAGGTATGTACACAATAAATATCTGGTGAAGAAATGAGATTGAAATTTTGCTATGAGAATCAAGACCATGTTCTGAGGTTTGACCAGCAGAGGGCAAAACAGATGCAAAGATCTGAGTGATGTCTCCCGATTGAGACAGCTCCCTCACAGTTGGTCTGGGGTCCCTCTGATGGGGTGTGTGTGTACTGAAAGTAAAACCTTTATCAGAGGATATTAGAATGTTGAATCTGACGTTTGAAATTCTAGAGTTTCTACTACCAACTATCAGTAGTGAAACCCACTGTGAATTCAGACGAGTTCCTGCTCCTGAGATCTCTACAGTTGCCTTGGTCTCTGCAGCTTCTGTTTGAACTCATGAGCTGTGTTCATGTTAAATTTGCAAGTAAAGGAATTAGAGTTAAGTCTCCTGATGAGTGTAAGTGTGTGCTGAGCCTCCTCCATAGATGGGACGGAGTCAAAGAGCAGCCACACAGGGGCAGCTTCTGCTCCTCTTCCCTGGTTTCCAAGGACAGCGTCTTTGAAAGTCTCTGCTCCAAGCTCCCCTGGTCTCATTTTCTCCATTCGCTCTGCTGATTTATCTTATGCTTCAGAGCTCAGTTCCAGTTCTCCCGTTCTCTAAACCCTGAAGATCAAGTTAACCTCATTTCTCAAAAGCACTTCTGTCCTATTTCACCTGACCACTCAACACGGCACTCCACTATTGCAGTCCACCATTTACGTGGGTGTTTAGCAGAGAGAGACTCTGGAGTCCCAGTGGCTGTAGACTCCAGAATCTGCGGTCTTGCCTTGTCATGTGTCCTTAAGTCGCCTCTTTCCCCTCATGAAAAGATAAAAAGGTGCTCAAGGCACGGACTTCAACATTTTTGTAGAGGTCCGACATAACTGCTCATCCAACATATGCTCTTCTGAGCCTCCATTCAATAAACATAGAAGCATTTCATTGTTTTTAAAGATTTATTCATTTTTATTTTATGTGTATGGATGTTTGCCTGCATGTCTGTCTGTGTATCTCAAGCATGCCTTGAACTTTCAGAGGCCAGAAGAGGGCATTGGATCCTTTACAACAGGAGTCAGATGGTTGTGAGCCACATGGAGCTGGGAAAGCAAACCTGGATCCTCTGCAAGAGCAGTCGGTGCTTTTAGCTGAGAAATATTTGGTTTTACTGGGAGAAGCAGTTTTCCTGCCCTTTACAACGCAGGCATCATATGTCAGGTCATATAAGTCAAGTATCACACACACTGCTAAAATGGGAAGGGAAAATCATCTATAATTCTACACCATTGAGATAACTGCTATCAAAATCCTGTGAGGGGTTGCTGAATACAAACATGTACGTTTCCATGGGGCCTTCTGGGAAGCGCACGGGGATCCCTCAGATGAAAATCAAACAGCAATGGGTGGCTTCAGAATTGCTGGTGAAGAATTCACTCACCATGGTATATAAATTAGGTAGAACCCTGTGAAATGACTGATAGTCACCTGCTTTTGACTGATATAATTAGCACTTTTATGTGCTTCAGCCTAATGTGGTGAAAGTAAGGGCATAACTGATAAGCCTATTATATTAAACTTTGAAGTTTATTTCATTACACTAAAGAGAAAAATGAAAGAACCAAAAGGAGAAGTACCCAGCTGTTTTAGTTAGGGTTTTTAGTGCTGTGATAAACATCATAACCAAAGGAAACTTGGGGGTGAAAGGGTTTATTTTGTCTTGCATCTTTCAGGTCATTATCCATCACTGAGGGAAGTTGGGTCAGGAACCTGGAGGTAGGAACCAAAGCAGAATCTATGGGGAGAGCTATATGCTGGCTCCCTCCATCTGGCTTGTTCAATTTGCTTTCCTGTAAACCTAGGACCACTGCCCAAGGATAACACTACTCACAGTGGCCTGGGCCCTTTCACACCAATCATCAATCAAGAAAATAGCCTGCAGGCTTACCTATAGGCCAGTCTAATGGGGGCATTTTCTCAGCTGAGGTTTCTAGATGACTCTAGATTGTGTCAGGTTAACAAAAACGAAAAGCTTCCAACCAGATAAAGTTATAACAATCTTAAAAGTAAGATGCCCATTGGATTTCCCATTGAACCAAGCCTTTTACACACTGTATCATTCAACAGGGTCATCTCCTAGGTATAAAAGTAATTCCCTGGGAACAAACTTGAAGTTGGTGTTAGAACATTTCTCACAGAATTCGGAGTAGAAGAAGCTACACCCGAGGCAGTGAAGCTCCTGGCATTGGACACATGACCATATTACTAGTGAATATAATGCTCAGAATGCTGCCCTTTGCACAGTCTCTGTCAAGATCTTCGAAGTGCTTGAGCAATATATTAACACAGTGGCATGTTTTTGGTAATATTTGTAAAAGTAAGATATTTCTTACTACCCCTTCCCCAACTCTCTACCAAGATAGGGCTTGCCCAGGCTGGTCTTGAACTCCTGAACTCAAATGATCCTCCCTACTGGGTCTCTTGAACACTAGGATTACAGGTATGCACTACCGTGTTCCACCTTAAGTTCTTTGGGCCGGGATCTTACTCCATGTATCACTGAAAAGTCTTAGACAAAAAGACAAGAGTTCCTGGATTCCAGTCAAGGCACCTGTTCTGCTTTGTTGGCAGATGAGGCAAAATCCGCGTGTGTTGTATGTTTAAAGAAATAAAATATGAATTAACACAAACAAGTAGTATTACCTGGTTTTTATCAAGGTTTCTCATGTTTGAAGATCACACATTAAAAGATTATGTTTCCAGAGCATCTTCTGCTCCATTTCCCTTCCTCTTCCTGTTCTCCTACTCACCGGTTGTCCATACTTCTATGTATTTGTTCATGGGCTCTTAGTATATAATGCTTATCTTTGTCTGGAAAAAAAAATGTCATATCCACAAGGCCAGGCCTATCAGCTCCTCCTTTCTGGTCCCAACGACAATCTCTCTTACCAATTTCTTGTTGATCTCGTATAGATAGAGACACTAAGGCTTGAGAGGGTCCAGAGTTGAGTTCTGGGGGCCCAAGAAGACAATCCTCAGGCATCGGATGGACTCTTCTGTCAATCTTGGGCACCTCACATCAGATCATGGACACGCGGTTCTTGATGTACACATGATAGGGGTCACTACGTTTGTCTACCTTGCGAGAACGGGTGTATCCCAGAATGAGACTGCCCACGGTGACAGCAAATAGGAACATGACAAAGAGAATATACATGTAGGAGTTGTCATTGCGGCCAGGAAGGCTAGCTCGACGTTCTTCAGTTTGATTGTCTGGCCCAGGTCCTGGCCCTGGCCCAGGACGGCAGAGCAAGTGACTGTGGAGGGTGGCGTTCAGAGCTTTCAGCACAGCATGGAGACTTTTGTACCAAGTCTCGGTCCCATTGGAAGTCTCCATAGCAACAGAGATTGAGGTACAGGAAGAACTGGAACGTGATCTGATGGTGAGGGGAGAAAGGGAAGGGGTGGTTCTGAAACCAACAGCTTGAATGACTTCCCCATTTTGTAGACCTAGGCTTGAGACCCAATACCATGACTCTTCCCCAATCTGCTCATCTGTCTTCTCTGCTAAGCCTCGGGCTGAGAGATGGGAAGGGCTATATCTGCTTTCCTCGCTGCTGTACGTGAGCCCTGACAGACACATCCCACAGTGTGTGTGGAAAAGAGCCTTTTCTGGCCACTGAGAACCATATTACTCTCTCTTTTTCTTGGATTGTATAAATCAACTAGACCAGGCGACAAGAACTTTAGAGGTTATTTAATCTAGCTCCTTCTACTTTATGCACAGGGAAACTGAGGCCCCAAACAAATAAGTAGCTTGTTCATGATCAGGGAGTAGTAAGCAGTCTTTTTTCAGGACTCCTTAATAGGTCAAATAGTTCACCAAGGCAGAACTGTCAGGAAACATTATTATTACCTATATGTATCAAACATGGCTTTACCTACTGGGTCTGTTCCCTGGGAAAAGGTAGTTCTCACCATGATAAATATTCATGATAGCTCTACGAAGAACTAGGGGAACAGAATCTAAATAATATAACAGCACCATACTGCCACCCAGGATGGGCCTACATTCTATGAAAGACCTTTGGGGTTTTCTGTTATCCACTGTGCTCTTGTCTGGATGAAAAGAACATAGATTTCTGAATTAGGATGTAAGAGGGAAGAAAACTGAGTTTTCTTCCATATGGGCCAGTGGCAAGCAGGAACATCACAGTGAAATTAATGACTCACTGAGTCACTCAGTCAATCATTATTTTCTCAGACTAGGGTCTGTGCTGGGGCCTAGAGAAAGCTCAAATCCAGTACTCACCCTAACGTGATACAGGTGACAACACAGGAGCTATGTAAAAGGGCTACTTAAAGTGATTAACATTCATTAAGCTTAGGGAATGTTCAATGGGATGGAGTGGTTTGAACTGGACTTTGAATCATTCTAAGAGAGAAGGCAAGGGCAGGAAAGATATGAACAATGGTACATCAACAAGACAGTACATAAAGTGTCTAGAAGAACAGAAGATCACATAAAGATGTTGGAATGGAAGATGGGCAGAAGGAGGGGACAGAATGAGGGACAGAAGAAATCCATGGGGCCAAATCACCGGAGTGCCATGCTGTGTGCTGGAACTTGATCCTGTAGTTGGCTTTAAAGATACCATTGCATTTTAAGAGGGTAAAATGGGCAGATCAATAATTGTGTAGCTGCTATGACCTGGTAGGGGTGAGAGTTGAGGTAGGTCAGTGACAAGGATGTTTGGAAACAGGGTGTTGAGTCCTGCACCAGGGTAGAAAGCGTGACAAAGTGGGAGCAGGGACAGATGACTAACATGAAGGTTGAAGGAGGAAAAGCCCCAGACAAATTTACAGACAGACACAGACAACCAGCATGGATCTAGACAAGCTCACTCAGAAGGATTCCAGGATGGTTATGGCTTCCTTATCTATCAAAAAGATCATCAGTGGGAGTTGTTGAACACCGAGTGTAAAGTTTCTAGTGCAGGATGCAAAGTTCTAGAGATTTATGCCATGGCACTGTGAAGACTGGTAACACTACTTAGTTATGTACTCATATGGTTAAGAGGGCAGACTTATGGAGTTATGCATTTTTAACTATAACTAATAAGGTTGTTATGCTTCCCAAACTTACTGTAAGTATGCATTCTTGTATTGCATTAAAGAGGATTAATGTGTTTTTCATTTTGAGAACCCACAGAAAGATGATTGTACAACTCTCAGGAACTGACCTTGGGGGATCCACCCTTGGTTCTGAGGTTTGTGTGACACACTCAGTTTTTAAATCCTAATCATTCATACAGCAGAGGTGAAATCTCTCTGTTCCTGGTCAGTTTTCTTGGGTATCTTTCCTTGGAAAGGGGATTTGATTGGTGTGGCACAGTGAAGGTATCACAAATCTGGAGAACTCACCAAACAGTACAGAAACTCCGCTGGCTCTGAGACATCTTTGCAAATCTCCTTGTGGATGTCCCACGACTCCTCAGTTCCTTGACCTTCCCAGGGTGCATCTGGATACAGCCAGAGTCTTGGTGTTGACAGGAAAGCTGAGAGCTAGAAATTGGGGAAGAGGCAGGAGAGGCGGAAGAGAAAGGAACCAGTCACACAAACCTCAGAACCAAGGGTGGATCCCCCAAGGTCAGTTCCTGAGAGTTGTACAATCATCTTTCTGTGGGTTCTGGCCCCACCCCTACCACTCCTCTCCCCTTCCTACAACAGCTAGCCAAGGCCAGCCTAGAGCTGTAGCTAGAGGAACTGTGTGATAGCCAAGGGACATCTGATTGTTGTCTCTCAGTCCCAGGTTTATAACACCTTAACTGGGTGACTTTGTGGGAATCCCATATTTGACCCGTGGACCAGCCAATGGTGCAACCTAAAAATCTTCTCTTTTTCCAGGGTGCTGGAGCCTTAGCAGAAGTTTTCTAGAACACAAGAGAATGAGCTGAGTGGTAAAATGGGAGTCTTCAGTTTCATAGAAATAAGTGGAGTGCTGCTAATCAAATCTGTGTGGACAGACAGGCCTTGTGACAGTGAGGAAAGGTGCCTGTCGCTAACCCTGACGGCCTGAGTTTGATCCTGGAATCTACATGGTGGAGAGAACCAGCTCTTCAAAGTTGTCCTCTGACATCAATACGCACACTCAATAAATGTCATAAAGTAATTAAAATGAGCACATCACAGAATTAATTCTCTATAGCATGGCTTTGCTGTGAAAATTAAAGATCACCTGTAAGGCACGGCTATTAATGCCACAGACGGTGGTGGTGGTCTGTGTAGTGCAAGAGCTGGACTGGAGGGTCTTCAGAGTTCATTAAGGCTAAATGTCCACATTTAACAGCAAAGAAAATGGAAGCCTAGATTGGGCTGGCTAGTGGAGGCAGCCTCTGGGAGACTTCAAGAGGCATTCAAAGCCCGAGACGGAGAAGGCTGCAGTCTTTCTAGCGGGTTAAGATATTCCTGAGTCTCTGGATTGACTTACACCTGGCATTACAGCCTAGGTAAACTGAGGGCCAACTGATTGACTTGTACTCTTCTCCTCCCAGCATCCTATCTGCGTGGGTGGTTTACACCGGGAAAGAGACAGATTGTGTGGGAAATGGGAATAAGGGGAAAGTGAAGGACAGGGTGGAATTCACTGAGTGGAGTGGAGAGGAAAGCAACCTTTCCCTTGTCAGACCCTCCCCTCAGAGCCTCGCGGAACATTTGGAGTTCTGACGGGAGGAACACAGAAGCCATATTACATACTCTCTTGAGCAAGCTAGAAAGAACTAATGATTGTCAGACTCCTGTGGATGAGACCCTGCCACTGGCTCCACCTCCCTATGGCTCTCTCAGTCTGTGCCCATGGCAGTGAGCTCCGGGCCATGAACTCAGTAGACATTGCCTGCACTTCATGTCTCTTGCCCTTGTTTATACTGTTTTCTTAAGTAGGAGTTCCTTGGCATGTTCCATCCGCTCAGCAAACTCATCCATTCATCCTTTCCCAAGACACCTGCCCCTCTTCCACTCAATAACTAGTTAGTTTCTCTTGTTGTTACCAAAGGGCTTTGAAAACAGCCTCATTAGAAAACCTTGCTACAGAGGGAAAAAAAAGGAAGAAAGGAAGGAAGGAAGGAAAGAAAGAAAGAAAGAAAACCCTACTCCTCAGCCATTGTGGGGGATTGTACATGTGGACCCAGTGTGTTCATGCACATGTCTTTGGAGATTGCCAGGCAGGGAGCTGGGCCTCATGCATTTCTTTTTTCTCCAGGCCTGTTTACATAGTAAACACTAAAGAACAAGAGAACAAGTGAACCAATACTTCTTCTATTAGAGAGCCCCCCACCTCACCCCACCCCTTAGCTCTCCTCCCAACAGATTCCTGAAAACAGCGTTCAATGCTTTCAGAGAAAAACAAAGAAGTAACAACTCTAAGCTGGATCAAGACAGGCTGGCTTAGGGAAAGGAGAGGCTCCTTGATCAGGTGGCATGGAGCAGGCAAGGGAAACCGTGAGCCTTCTTTGGAAGCCCAGGCACTTCCTGCGTCTGATCTGAGCCCGTTTATCCAAAGGGCAAACATTCTTGGCCCCCAAACATCAGTAAATGGTTTTGCAACACTCTTCCCTGTGTACCTAGGTGTGGCCATCCACACCCACAAACCGTACACAGTCCCAGTCAGCCTGTGATCTTGCCTTTCAAGGGAGCCTTTCATGAGCCCAGCCTTGGCCTGTGTCTGGCTGTGTGAGCGTGAATACTGCGTTTATTTCCTCTGAACGGCATCTGTAAGATGGGGGCAATTACCCGTGCCAGGCTTACCTCATGAACACTGGAAGAGACAATAGATGGGGAAGCGTTTTGGAAGCAGCAAAGGTAAGAGAACATTGCTGGAAAGGCTGCTCACATGGTTCCCCTGCTGTCTCCACATCTTATATATAATAAATTCATCCCTTATTACCACGAACAGTCCCCCACCCCGTGTGCCACTCCCTGCCGTGGCCCTCCCACCCTCCACAGAAATCAGGGGCTTCTTATTCTCGTGAACCTCTGACCATGGGCCTCCTTCATTGTCTCCCACCTTCTCTGGTGAATTCTGTCGCCCTTGCAGTTTAGAAGTGGCACTCCCACAGTGTGACAACGAGGAGAGCTGGATTTCTGCCCCCTACTGATCCAGTATGTGTAGCACGTGTAGACTGGGGGTTCTTGGTCTTGTCTGGCCTCCCTCTTAGAAGCTACTTCAAGCACCCCCACACTACAGATAGGAATGTGCCTTGAGAAGTGTGAAGAAAGTGTTGCTTGTTGGTTTTCATCTTAGAGCGTTAACAGACTTTAAAAGCAGTTTTTAACATTTCCAGCACAGCAACCCTTCATTTGGCATTGACAAAGTGGCTGAGTGCCAGAGAGCATGCATTTATTCCATATTAGCACGTGAAATAGAGTACTGGGCTAGGGAGAGTACTGGGCTAGGGGGGAAGAAACACTGGTTCTAATTAAATTTGCACCCCCACCCCCGCCTCCGGTGTGACCCTGGATAGGAGCCTCAGTTTCCTCACATGCAAATGAATGAGGCTTAGGAAGCAGGAATCAGGAGGAATTGCCACCTGGGCTTTGCAAGCTGGCTGAGATAAGAGACCTCCCCTGTGCCCTAATGTGGGTTTATGTGAAACAACTGGAGCATGCAACCCATTCTCCAGGTGGGGACTTTAAAAAAAAGAAAGCCCGAGTCACAGAGCTATGGTTGACCGGTACAGGTTTACACTACCTGAAAACTAGAAACCAAGACGCCCGCCTTCCAACCTAGATCTGCTACTAGCCACAGAAGTTGCTTTGGGAGTCCCGCGCTTTCCTAGAACTGGTCGCAGAAGATTAGTCACAGTGGAGTAGAATGGGCAAGGCAGTTAGTTCTGCAAAGCCCGTGTCTTTGGTCGAGCAAGACTGACTCCTGGAATGTTGCTTCCGCGAGTACCTCCTGCAGACCTGTAGGTGTTCTCTTGCCTCTCTGCAGGCAGGAAGGAGCTTTTGCTGCCTAAATGGAGTACTGGGAGGACTCGTGCGAGCCTCCCACGATTTCCACGATCAGCTAAACTCTCATCTACTTGTGTTGCCGGGGAATACCTGCTCTTCTCTCTGGGAAGGATCCACTCGGGTATTTTAGTAGCACCCCAAACCGGGTCCTCCCTGTCAAGAAAAACACATACTGGACCCTCGTCAAAGAGACGGGAACCCCTGTACTTCTCCAACCCTGTGCGTGCGCCTTACCTGCCTCTGCGATCTTCCCCTGTGAGCGCTGCAATGATGCCCAGCAGCGCTCTTAGCCGTCACAGCTCTGCACAGCTCTCGATCCCCTATTCCCTTCCCAGCTTGTCCCCTCCTCCGGCCCCGCCCTGTGCTAGCACACCAGCTTCACCGCTGGCTAGCTTCGGGCGCCTCCGCCCAGCTCCTTGGCCTCACCCGGTTGTGGGGAACCGCCTGCTTCCTGGACCTGAGACCAAATTTTTCTCGATCTCACAGTTTGTGTCGCTATGTCTTAGCCAACCTAGCAAAAAGCTGATCTCCAGAAACCGAGACCAAGCACTGGCAATTAGTGGAGTTGGGTGCGGCATCTGTGTGGTTGTGTGGCTCTGGGGCCTTGGTTTCCTCACAGCTGGTTGTCACCATTCCTTCACAGGCTTATGGGAGGGTCAGGCGTGCTCTTGGGATCCAAAATACTAAAACAGTAATAGCCAGGGGAAAAAATGTGTGATCCTAACACAAACCCTGTTTTGCAGTTTGCAGATGCCCAAATTGGGGTGCGCGGGGCGGGGTGTGTGTGACTTATCTATACTTATCAAGCAAGTTAGTCAGAGTGCAAACTAACAATTCATTACACTCCAGCAGGAGCCTCCTCCTTCAGTAGACCCTCATGTTCCCCATCAACTTGCATCCAGTCACATCTTAACGGCTGTCTGCCCCAGATCACTGGGTCCTCATTCAAACTGTTTCTGATGATGTTACAGGCTACGTTAAAGAGAAGAAGCCCAGGGAAGCCGAGAAATGGGGGCCAGGAGGCCATCAACAGGAAGATGACAGAAACAGGGACCAGCCTCTCAGGAACTTAGGGACCACTTATTCAAGCTCTCTTTACCAGCGGAGGCCGCACAACACGTTCAGATGAGCTCCCTCACACCTTTGCAAAGATCTACTGCAGTGTTTCCGAGGAACGTAATTTCAATCACAGAATTTCAGCATATGATTATCTAAGAAGTGCTTAGGATGTACGGGGAGGGGGTGTACCTGTCCTGTGGTAGGCATCTTGGGCATAATTTCTAATCTTCAAAACACATCATTGCTGTGTTGTTTCTGTGCCATATGCTTCTATCCAACCATTCCTCCCTAAGCTGGAGACCACTTCTCAGAGAAGGCACCTGGTCACCTAGGTATGCTCTCTTAGTGTCTAGCCTACAAACCAAGGGAGTGCTGGTTTCAGTAAGGTAGACTGCAGGCTCCTTCCAGAAGGCCCAAAAATCAGCATTTTAATAAACAGAACTCCCAGTGATGCTTAACACTAGCCTTGAGGGCACTGGACATACAATTGGTGCACAGACATATATGCAGGCAAAATAAACACATAGACAACAAACAAAAAAAAAACCCACAAAGGGTGGAAAAGATGGTTCAGCAGCTAAGAACACCTTTTGTTCCCTTTAACCCTATACTTCCCATTCTGGGTTATGATTATCTGCCTTATTTGTTGACTCCCTTTCCTTGCAATATCACTCTGATTAAACTCCCTCTTCTTAGGGGCAGTGCCTTCTGATGTGAGAAGAATTTTCCTGACTTCTCAAATCTCCAAACTGATGGAAAATCGGCCTGGTTGGGGCGGCCTCCAGTCTAAGGGTGATAATGCGGGAGCCCCTGGATCATAAGTGCGGTGTTTGTTTCTTCAGGTGCTTCAAGTCACCCCCTCAAGAATCATCAGGTGTTTGGGAGACAAGCAACAGATGTGGCTGTCTGTCCTGGAGCACATCTGAACTCAGTCAGGCAGAATCTCCCAATTCTTTGGAGTCTAGAAGTCTCCTAGACAGTGAAGCCTTTGGTGCAATGGAGGGAAAAGCCAGCTGAGGACATCATTGGCTCTGGGACCTGGGCCAAATTACTTTACGCTTCAGGATCACTACCTGCCAAACAGGAATCTTGGTTCTGCAAATCTCAGAGGGTTCTGAGAAGCAAAAGAAGGCACGGCTTGAAAAGCACCCCAAGGATTTAGGATTATTCTTGCTGTGATGACCAAAGCACCTTGGAGAAGAAAGAATTTATTTGTCTTATGTGTTCAGATTTCTGTTCATCACTGAAGGAAGTCAGGACAGGAACTTAAACAGGGCACAAACCTGGAGGCAGGAGCTGATGCAGAAGGCATGGAGGGGTGCTGCTTACTGGCTTGCTCCTCATGGCTTGCTTAGCCTGCTTTCTTATAGAACTCAAGACCACTAACCTGGGGATGGCTCCACCCACAATCACTAATTAAAATGTCTTACGGGCTTGCCTACAGTCCATCTTATGGAGACATTTCCTCAACTGAGACTCCCTCCTCTCAGATGACTCTAGCTTATATCAAGTCAACATAAAACTTGCCAGCATACTTACGGAGGAATCATTATGGGTTTCTCCACTAGACCCGCAACTTCTGAAAGGAGGGGTGGTGCTTTGGAGTTTTTCAATATTTTTAAGCCTGCACAAGGCAACTAAAAACCAAAATGCTGGTCCTGACTGAGGTTTTCCTACTTGATGGAGTGTCAGAAGTGAATTTGGATCTCTCAGAAAAGGGCCTTCAGACAAGGACCTGATCACAAAGGGGTCATACATGAAGAGATGCATTAGGAAAGTGGGGGGCTTAACTATTAGGTTATATAAAGCATATCCTTAGCAGGATGGCATGAAGCAAGTTCCAAGGTAAGCTGAGGTAAGAGTAGAAGGAGGAGCTAATCCTGATGCCTTTATTTGAGACCCTGATAATTACGCCTGACACCTAGCCCAGACTTCACTGTTTTAAGACATAGTCTCACTATTTTCCTTTCCTTTTCTTTTCTTTCCTTTCCTTTCCTTTTCTTTCCTTTCCTTTCCTTTTCCTTCTTTCCTTCCTTCCTCCCTATCCTAATTTCTTCCCTCTTTTTTGAGACGTGATTTCAATTCACTCTGCATATTGGCCTTGAACTCACAGAGTTCCACCTGCCTCTCCTCCCTGGGTGCTGATATTAAAGGTGTGTTCCAACATAGTCTCACTATTTAACCGTGGCTGGCTAGAACTTACTTTGCAGAGCAGACAAACTTGTAGCAATGCTCTTGTTCCTCCTCTTGATGTTGGGATTACAACACATGTAGTTTAAAATAGTCTCTTGGATTGGCGCTATTATAAGCAGAATTGTTTGTGACCCAGAATTCTAATCCATTCAGGCTCACCTCGAAGTTTTCTCACCCACTCCTGCCTATTTATCACTTCATCTACATTCTGGCTGTTTCTGTTCACACAACTTCCAGGTCACTTAACACTTGATTGCTCATTTTGTCTACAGATGTGTCTCTGCTACAACACTGTGACTCCTAGAAAGGGCTGGGCCTGACCCACCTCTGTACTCTTGGAGTACAGGAGAGGCTGACAAACCTCTCTTATCGTCCATTGCGGTCAACACAGATTGAGGACACATTGGCCAATGGAAGCCTACTGAGGGGTGCCATGGGGTCTAGAAATCGTCCTACATGAAAATAAGAAGAATCAGGAGTGCTTTGCTTGGGAATAACCCAACTGAGAATTAATCTGCTTTCTGATTTTGCAGACCATTTCTGGACACCACCTCTGCACAAGCCCTGGGCTAGGAATGAAACCACGGGTGCGCAGCTACCATGCTGGCTGGAGAGTTCACAGTCTGGATGGTGTTGGACACATAGACAAGGAACTATGGCGTAGTGTGGTCAGGGTCACCAGGAAACATGAGGGTTATGTCCAAGAAAGGCCTCTGGAGCGACATTGTAGTAGGGCCCAAGTATGACAAAGTTGGTAACAGATTTCAGTTTAGGTTAAAAAATGATTTTTCTTTTTAAAAGATTTATTGCTTTTATTTTTGTTTTGTTTTGGTTTTTTAAAATAGGTTTTCTCTGTATAGTTTGGTGCCTGTCCTGGAACTAGCTCTTTGTTTTTTGAGACAGGGTTTCTCTATAGCTTTGGAGTCTGTCCTGGAACTAGCTCTTGTAGACCAGGCTGGTCTTGAACTCACAGAGATCCACCTGCCTCTGCCTCCCAAGTGCTGGGATTAAAGGCGTGTGCCACCACCGCCTGTCTGGAACTAGCTTTTGTAGACCAGGCTGGCCTCAAACTCATAGAGATCTGCCTGTCTCTGTCTCCCGAGTGCGGGGAATAAAGGCGTGCACCACCACCGTCCGGCTAAAGATTTATTACTTTTTAAATTTATGTGTTTGCCTGGGCATAGTGGTTTACAACTTTAATCCTAGCACTTGGGGGGCAGCGGTAGGACAATTTTATGAGCTGAAGGCCAGCCTGATCTACATAGCAAGCTCCAGTCTAGCCAAGGCTATAATGAAACTATGTCTCAAAAAGCCAATAACAACAACAGCAACAATAGTAATAAGATAAATTTATGTATATGTGTGTGAGCCTGCTAGGCTAGGCATAATTGTTGACCTGTAATCCAGCACCTGGGATATAGAGGCAAGAGGATCAATTTAAGGTCTGGTCCTGGGCTACATGAGACCCTGACAAATTGAAAGGCGAAAGGGCTGATGGGGTTGAGCTTTGTGTGGAACGTTTGCTTACCATGAATAAGGCCCTAGACTCCATCGCGTGCTAACAGAAACGGCCAAAGGGCCGGCTCAGGAAGATCTGGGGGTATGTGAGTAAGGCTGGGAAGCCCATTCCACAGACTGAACACTGATATGTATCAGCAGAAGGACAAATGCGAAGGCTCATCATGCAAGCTATTAAACCGCCACTTCCTCCTCTGTGCTAGCAATGCAGAAATAAAACAAAAGCAGAAGGCAGGGGCATGGTGGCACGTTCCTTTAGTCTCAGCACTCAGGAGGCAAAGGCAGGCACAGCTACATAGTAATACTGCT